CACGCACACACACACACACACACACACACGCACGCACGCACACGCACACACACGCACGCACGCACGCACGCACGCACGCACGCACACGCACACACACACACACACACGCACACACACACACACACACACACACACGCACGCACGCACGCACACACACACACACACACCGGCCAAAGAGGCCCCCACGCTGGCCCAAGACGCCGCCCAAACGCCCAAAGATACTTCCAACATGGCCCAAAAGCGCTCCAAGAGAGCCCAAGACGTTTTCTACACGGCCGCAGTCGAAAGTACACAAGAGGCCCGGCAGAGGGCCCCCAAGAGGCAAAAATCGTCGCATTAATTTTCAACGGACGCTGATCTTCAGCAAAATCGCTTCTTCGGTCCTAACAGCGTCCAAGACGATCCAAGAGGCAACCAGTATCGCCCCGAAACGACCAAGAGGTTTCCAATATCGTCCCAAGATGGCTCAAGAGAGCTCCAAGACGGCCCAAGAAAACCCCGGAACGGCCCTAGACCAGCCCTAGGGGGTCCCAAACGGGCCCCAAGGGAGCCCAAAAAGGCCCATAGGAGGCCCCCGTAGCAGCCCAGAAGGGCCCCCAAGGGGCCCAAAGACGGCCCAAGCACCCCAAGACGGCCCGGGGGGGGCCCAGGACAGCCCGAGAGGGCCCCCAGCCAGCCCAAGAGAGCTCCCACAGGACCCTCAAGAAGGCCCAGGAACCCTCCACAGATTCTGAAAATACCTTCAAAAGGCTCCCAGGAAACTCCCCAATCGGCCCACCAGAAGCGTATTGGAGGTCCCGCATCTACGAATTGGAGGTCCCGCATCTACGTCCTGCGCGGCGTTCCCCAAAAACGCCCCCACAGGCCCCCCATCCACGAGCCACGGAAAGGGCTTCCAGAGGCCCCGCAGGAAACACGCCGCGAGGCCCCGACGGGCTCCAGAGACGCCCCGAGCGCATGATCCGGGTCAGGGGCGTGCCGCCATGGCGGCGCGTCGGCCCCTCTCCCGCTGGCGGAAGCGCATTCTGTCATGACCGTTTCCGTTTTCTGGCGACTGCGGGGCCGTCTGTCTCGTCGTGCCCGTTATCCTCGTCGTCCTCGTCGTCCTCGTCCTCCTTCACCTCGTCTTCGTGCTCGCCGTCGTGGCTGCTGATCATTCGCTTCTCTTCGTGCTCCGTTGACGTTCACGTCGTTGCTCCATCAACGTCATGACCACAGCCCCCCCTCGTGGACACCTCGTCCCCCCACCTCTCACGCGTGGCTTCGAACCCATCCCGCACACGCCGTGTCTGCTCAACCACGAACATGCCTGTGGCCCGTTCCCGGATGATGACCGTGATCCCCCCCCCGTGGTCAGCATCTTCTTTCACCAATCGCCCAGTCGTCAAATGGCTGAGAGTGCGCGAACGCAGGACCAAGATTGAAGCGAAACGAAGCGAGCCCTCCAACGTTGTCTATACGCATTTATGTAGGAAGCGACACTTCTTAAACGTCTGCTCACACAGACACACACACATCCAAGCACACAACCAAACGCACACACACAAACAAGCACACACATATATGTATATATATATATAGATCCAAAATATGTATGTGCGAGTTCTTTGGAGAGGGGGACCAGGAAGAGAGGTATAGCGAATCGTGGCCCGAGCACGTGCGCGGATAAGGGGCGAGGAGCGCGCCGAAAGAAGAAGAGTGGACATGTAATCTGGGAGATTCACCGCCCCATGCCACGATGCCCCCCGCAACTACCCCCCCCCCTGGACTCCCCGGGCACGCGCGCCCCGACAGCCCCCCCCCTCCCCCACTCTACCCTCCCGCTGGCCCATAGCGCCCAGGACGACCAGCCTCAGAATTAACCTCAAAGAACTTTCAATGAACCCCATATTCAAGAATTGAAAATGCATTCATTGTATGGCCCCAGGGCTCATTGACGGATTGGGGTTCCGCCATGGAAAAATACACCCCGCGGCGGCCGCCGCATCGACGCCGACGTCGTCGCAATCGCGCTCGCACACTTTTTTCTGGTCTCACACTACTACGAATACGAATACTACAGCCACGAGTTACAGCTACTATTCCCAAGAAGGTTCTCCCGCTGAAGTGGCCCGTCAGAACCCCCTTCCTCACGGGGTCCTTCCACAGAAGCTCTTTCTCCAGAAGCCCTTCGCCTAACAGCTCCTCCTGGGAAGCCCCTTCCCCCTTCGAAACTCCCCCCCCCCCGGAAATCCGTCAGACGCCCTTTCCGACACCCCCCTCCCCGAAGCTCCTCCCCCAGAACCCCCCCAAAAAACTTCTCCTCCACGCGTTACTTTTTGGAAATTCCCCTCCCCCCTCCCCCCCGCGGGGCCCCTCGAAGACGGCGGGATGAGCCGAAGGCCTGTGGATCATCATTCCCCAAAGCGCTCACACATGAAGTCCAGTTGTTAGCTCCTCATCTCCGCGGGCCGCGACGCGCAAGCTCACGCGAGGGTCACCGTCATGGAGAACGAGTGCCTCAGAGCCCGTGTCCCGCGCGTGGTTGTGCCAAACCCTAAGGGCCTGTCACAAAACTCACGCGCACCTCGCGCGCCCGTCATGCGGCTCTCAACGTCCCTAACCTCATGCCCACCGGCAGCGGTTGTCTCATCCACCTCAGGCTCAGGCGGGGCGAACATCTCGCTCCAGAGCTCTCAGCGGCGCTTAGCGATGGCATCTGGTTCGTCTCAATGAGGCTGTAGATCTCAGCCGCCGGCCACTTCAGCCCAGACACCTCCGTCATGTGCGGCGCCGTCTGTCACCGGGCCAGCGTAGTCCAAGCTCAGCAAGCGCGACGTCTGCTTGAAACACGAGACGGTAGCTGAAAAGCGGAGCCTCCTCAACCATCTTGACGATCTCAAGACGGCTGTGACATTCTTCCTCAGCTCGTCAATGCCCGTGGGTGGCCTCAACCATAGTGGGCTTCGCGCGATCGAAGAAGAGGATCTTCGTGTTCATGTGAATCCGGGCACCCACGGACCACAGGCTGCGCGGGGGCCTCCTCGCTCCGTACGAAGCTGCCCGACAATATCTCGCGCGGCGAAGAATACCGCGCAGATGATTGCCCTCCCGGCAGCAGCCGAACAAGCTCAGCACAGCTATGACGAGCTCTTACTGCGCGCGACTAATTACCTGCGCGACCCCCATATGAAGACGGCGTCGATGATGACGACGACAACGACGATGACGACGCGCGCCAGCTCGATGGGAGATGAAACGAACAATCGTGCACTCCTTGTGTCAACAAGCTCAGCATTCCTACGTCGTGCAGGGTAGCCTAGAAAGCGTTATCCGACCGGAGAGAAAACAATTCAAACATCTCCAGGACAGAAAACACCAGTTGCCAACTAACTGCGAGCGCGGCCACCACCGCGCAAACTCAGCACAACTATGGCGAGCTCCTGCTGCGCACGCTTACGTGCGCAACTCGGATATGAAGACGACAACGACGATCGCGACGACGACGAAGACGACACGCCCACTCGATTGGAGATGTAGCGAATTATCTTGCTATACTTGCGCGAACCAGCTTAACCTTCTTCTCAACATTTATCTTGTCATCCCTTAACCAGCTATTGGCCAGGAAGCACGATCCGATGGGAAAGACTAGAAATAGTACAACAACAACTGACAGGCGAGCAACAAGGATTGAATAATTGCTGGCGCCCGCGGACGCCTACAGAGAGGAACTGAAGATGCTATAGCTCGAACCGTTACGCCTCTTGCACCTCCTCCTCCTCCTCCTCCTCCTCCTCCTCCTCCTCACCATTCCCACATCCCTCCTCCTCCCCCTCCCAATCGCCTTCCTCCGCGTCCTACTCTTCCTCCTTCTTCTCCTTGCGTGCACAACTACTCCCCCTTCCCATCGCCCTCCTCCTCCTCCTCTAACTCATCCTCCTTTTCCGCCTTGAGGGGGAGCGAGGAGGGGAAGGACGAGGAAAGGAACAACGAATCCATTATCAGCCGAGAGCTTGCGGCGGGGAGCAGCACTGAAGGCCCTTGGAGGTTACATCAGCACACGCACAGAGCAAACCCAGCCGACACACACATAGGTGATCTTGTTGTTGCTTGTTGTTTGCTCCGATGCGCGATGATGATCATCATCGCGCATCGGAGCAAACACATAGGTGATCATCATCGGGGTCCCCAGACACCCGATGATGATCTTGTTGTTTGCTCCGATGCGCGGCCCCAACCTCTTGCCCAGGAGTACTTGCTCGTCCCGGATCGGTTCTGGGAGCCAGAACCCCGACGCCGAGAAAACACGCCTGGACTCGCGATATCGCGTCGTCGGAGATCTGGGTCTCTTGTCCCCCCTTCCCCTCCAGGACAGCCATGGCCCCGGTCCTTGTCGAACATGGTGAGAAAGAGGATGTCGCCCCGCTGCATGCCAGGCTCCATGCTCCCGCTGAGGACCACCACGACGGGGCTCTCGCTGCCCGTCACGACGATCAGGCCCTTCCAGATCATCAGCGCCGAGAACACTATGCAGCCCAGGTTGAGTATCTGGTGGGAACCACCATCAAGCCCCCTTGGATCCAGGCGCTGCAACCAGGACCGTGACGATCAGCTGTTCGCCGCTTCTGGCCTCTGGAAGCCGTTTCTCGGCCAAGGGACCCTCCAGAAGTGGCCCGGATGGAGAAGCCGGCCCTGGGAAAGTGATCGAGAATCCGCGGGGGGGCGACGCCACAAGAAGCGGCAGCCTCGGGGAAGAGGGGCCCCTCCTTGTCCCCCTCGTCGTACAGTCGGGGCGTTGACCTAAGGAACCCTAAATAAAGAACGAGGCCCCTGTTTTCCACAAGTGAACCTTCGATTTCCGATCGAAAACATAAGGAAAACCTGAGGCAAGCTGCGAAACACTGAAAGAACGCGGAGCCCCTCCCCAACGAAAAGGGTTCCTTCTTCAGGGCCCCTCCTCATACATCCCCTCTCGGCTCCCCCTCCCCACTGAAGCCAGCTGTAGTTTCCCCCCTGGCACCTCGCTCGGGCCTCCGCCTCGTCCCCCCGCCCTCCCCATCCTCCGCGAGGTGCGTGTGTGTGCGTGGCCCTGGACCTGGCTGGCCTCGCCGTCCAAAGTAAGACGGGGATAAAGAGAGAGAGAGAGAGAGACAAACAAATATAGAGAGAGAGAGGGATACATACACACACATCGATATATATATATATAGAGATATGTGTATACATTAGATCTATATATATGTGTATATATATGCACACAAAAAAATTTACGCAGAGGCAATGTACGTGGCAACATGCTGTCAACACAAAACCATATGCATCTTGAGACTCGCCGTGCGCAGGAACACACACGGGGGCAGAACACTCCTCTTGTGACGAGGAGAGGCGCTCAATACAAGTGAGAACCTGTGACTCTCAGACAAATTCTTGTTGAATGGCAAACGCCCTCGCCGACTCCAGAAACAGTGTGTGCGCCAGCGTCGCCCTCTCCTCGACTCCTCAGTGACCTGTATCACTTCTGCCCCATTCCGCCGATCTTCTGCTAACATTTCGCCATCGAAGCCGCCCTCGTTTTACTTCTACGGGCGTCCGCCAGCCTTGCGCCAGCCTCCGCCCTCGGATGTCTCCCCCTCGATCTCTCGAAGACGAGAAAGGAGCACCTTTCGAGAACGCCCTGCACGGCAGTTCGACAGCACTGCAGTGCTCCCTCGCCGCCGACTGGAAGGGGCCGCCGCCGCCGCGGGCCCTCCTCAGGAGGCGCGCAGCGAGGCCAGCGAGGGCATGCACGCGACCGCTATCGGGCGAAGAAGGGTACAGCATAAACTGTTCCGTCTTCGCGGGCGCCTGCCCCAGGGCGGCTGGAAGTTTACACCCTGTCGTGCCACCGACGAAACATGAACTCTCTAGCCGCCCTGGGACAGGCGCCCCCGACGTCGAACCGCTTTTTCTGTTGCACCGCCCTTCTCAGCGAGCGAAGAACGGTATAACAGAAACTTTTTCGCTGTCGGGGGCGCCTGTCCCAGGGCGGCTGGAAAACTTATACCCCTACGGTGCCACCACCGTAGGGGTATAAACTTTCCAGCCGCCCAGGGACAGGCGCCCCCGACAGCGAAAAAGTTCATTTTATACCGTTCTTCGCCCGTTGACCTTCGCCCGCCAAGGAAGGGGCCGCCGCCGCCGCGGGCCCCCCTCAGGAGGCGCGCAGCGAGGCCAGCGAGGGCATGCGCACGACCGGCCGCCCGCACGGCGGCGGGCTCGGCGCGGCGCCCCGCGCCCGCGGCTGCGCCGGGCCCTCGGCCAGCACGAGGTCCTGCGTGGCCGCGCCGCCGCCGCCCGCCGAGGGCGCCCCCAGCACCAGCAGCACTGGCCTCTGCCGGTGGCCCGTGCGGCGCAGCGTGTCGAGGCCGGCGCGCTCGAGGATGCCGCCCAGGCGCACGGGCCTGCGGAGGGCCTCCCAGGTGGGGCCGGAGCAGGTGGGGTCGGAGGATCGCGCCGCAGCTCGGTGCAGCGGCCGGCGCAGCGATGCTCCGGCGACGCAGCGGCGACGCAGTGGCAACGCAACGGCGACGCAACGGCGCCGCATCGCCGAGACAGCGGCCATGCGGCGCGATGCTCCGACCCCAGCCACTCGGGCCCAGTCTGGGAGGCCTAGGGCCTGTCGATGGCCTCCGTGACGCTGCGCAGGAAGACGGCGTCGTAGGAGGACGTGGTGCTCTCGGAGGACAGGGCCAGCAGCAGCTGCGGCGAGCCCGCGCCGAGGTCCCCGAGGCCGCCCAGGCGGGCCGCGTCCCACTCGGCGCCGCCGATGTGGGCTAGGTCTGGGCGCTGGGCCGCGAGCGAGGGCAGGATGTGGCGCCTTCCCGCCGCCACGCGCGCCCTCGCGTCCTCGTAGGCCTCTTGCTCCTCTGGGCTCAGGCGCCGGCAGCTCTCGATGAGGGACACGACGTGCACGCAGCCCGGGAGGCGCCAGTGGCGCGTCCCCGCGCCACCCCATTGCGCGAGGTGCTGCTGCAAGGACTGGCCGCCCAGCGCCCACAGGGGCCTCTCGACATCCTCACCGATGGTGCGCCAGCTGAGTATCTCGTACAGGGGATCCAAGAAGTCGGCGAAGAAACAATAGGTTCCTTCTGGATTCCTGCCGCGCGGGCAGTCCACGGGATAGAAGCGGCCCGACCCGCCGTGCCCGCAGAAGGCGAAGAAGATCAGCAGAGGCGCTGGGCTGTCCTCCTCTGCAGAGCTCGTTGCGCTCTCCACGCGCCTGAGCCAGCGGGCCGTCGCCGAGCGCATCCCGTCCAGGCCCTCGTCTTGGCCACCGTCGACCTCGAAGCCCATCGCCAGCAACTTTCCTCGCAACTCCGCCGCCGCCGCCACAGGCTTTGACAGCGGCCGGCGGTGCCTGTACGCTCCGTTGGCGAAGACGAGCGCCAGCCGACGCGAGGTCCGCAGCTCCGGGGCAGCGCCGGCGTGCTCGGGCCGCGCGGACGCCCCCGCCTTGAGCTGCGGAGACGCCATGGGCCCCATTCGGCCCAGCACGCGCGCAGGCCACGTCCACGGCTGTCACCACCGCCGGCCTCGGCCTGGCCGAGCAAGGCACCGGCCATCTCGGCCGGGTCCCGGCGGGCCGGGCCCCTCGAGCCAGCGATCATTACACCAAGCAGCTGGCTCCGTGCTGTGTCTGACGACGGGCGTGTGCACGAGTTGGCCGAGGGGCCTCGGCACGATCTTCGGCGACCGGGCAGACATGACAGAGCTGTCCGGCTCCCTCGCAGGCGCGGGCGAGCAGCTGTGCCACGGCGCGCAGCGCTTTCCTCCCATCTATTGTCCCGATGCCACGGTGCGTCCTGCTGCGGTGCCCGACCGAGAGAGAAGAGGATGCGATGCGATGCGATGCGACCACCGTTGCGGACAGCGTCCGGGCCTAGGGCAGACCAGGTGGGTGAGGCCATGGCCTCTAGGATCTGAGGTGTCTGGATTCATGCAATGCGAGAGAGAAGAGGAGGGGGAGAACGAGGCGGAACCCCTCGGCCCCCGACCGACTCACCTTCACACAGCACTTGCAAGCGCACGGAAGCAAAAACACGGCAAGGTGCCTCGGAGGTGTGTGGGGAGGACAACGGAGTGCCGCAATGCGGCACAGCTGTTTCGGCTTTTCTTGCCGCACGTGCTGGGGTGGGTGGGTCTGCGCGAGCGCGACGATGTGACGGGGTTGCGAGGGCAAAATCTACCCGTGTGATTAGTGTGCCTGCGAAACGCCCAGGGCGTGTCTCTATAGCTTCATACTCTTCCGTCTTGTGACGCAACAGCGAGAACCTGGAAACGGATGAACAAAAACTAACCCCCTAAACTCTACACAACAACGCTTGCGCACGATCCTTGGGAAACTGCTGTAAAACGAATCGGCGTAACCTGGACACGGTAAAGAAACGCCCCCTGAACACTGTAATAAACCGGGTTGGTGAACTTTTGGCACAACACGAGACTGCCGATGATAATGAATACGGGGCTGCGCAGCGGGCATCAGCAGCAGCAGGCAGTAACAGAAGACAATAGCAGCCGGCAGTCGCAGCAGGCAGTAGCAGCGGGCAGGAGATGCAACGGAGAAGCCCTTTGGAGAGAGAGTCGAGCTCTTACCGCGCGTTACCTGTCGGTCGCTGTCCGACCCACCGGAGAAGGGAGTTGGAAATACGGTGCAAACGTATTGGAAACAGATTGGAAACTCCTCCTCCTCCTCCTCCTTCTCCCTCCTCCTACTCCTCCTCCTCCTCTTCCTCCTCCTCCTGGTGCTTGTTGGCTCGAGGTGGCCCGTCCCCCCCTGCGGTGGCCCTGGCCCAGAGCTCCCGTCCGCTGCGGCCCCCTGCTGGCCCAGTCAGGCAACTTCGACCCTCGGCCCAGGGGAGGCGGAAACATTGATGATGTCGCCGCTGCCGCTGAGGCCGCCGTTACGACGCCGACGCCGCCGTTACGACACCGACGATGTCTCCGGCTCTGACGCGCACTCGCGGGGGTCGGACAGCGACTGACAGGCAACGCACGAGAAAAGCTCGACATTCTCTCTAACAAAAACTTCTATGGTGCACCTGCTGACCGCTGCAGCTGCCAACTCCCTGGTAGATCGTGTCTGCCGTTCGCTGCTGCGCGCTGATTATTGCTGCTTGTTGCTGCTGCTGCCTGCTTGTGCCTGATTACAGCTTGGAGATTTCCAACGCATGCCCAGCCAAAATAATACCGGATGCAAAAGAGCATGTTGCGAGGCAAACCTAGACACGATGACAAAAACGGAACTGGGAAACATAAAAAACGTTCCCTCGAATGGGCGTCGGAAGCGATCGGAAAACGCATCGCCACGGAAACCTGGAAATAAACAAAAAAAGTGCAGCCGAAAAACTGTTGAGAAACAAATTTTGAATGACAGCTGGAAGCTATAAAGAAACGCCCTGGGCGCTTCCAAGGCACACTAAGCCTATGTGCATCGCGGGGGCACGCCAGTTGGTCCCGTGGATTATCACGTCCCGTGGTTGTCCAATGGCTGTCCCGTAGATTGCCCCGTGGATTGTCCCGCCTGTTGTCCCGCGGTTTCTCCTGTGGTTGTCCTGTGGTTGCTCTGTGCGCTGTCCCGTGGTTTTCCCGTAGGTTGCCCCGTGGGCTGCCCAAATGCAAGTTGTTCTGCAGGTCGTATTGTGTGCATGTACGCAAGCATATACACCTTAGTGACACTTCAAGGTTTGCCGACAGCGTTCGTCAGACAGACGGGAAACTATACATACATGCGTGCACATATAGCGAGATATACTAAAACCACGCATGCTTAGTATTTAGAAAGCCTCAACTCTCACAACTCCGCTGAAATAGTCCACCACAAATACTTTGAACATGATGTTTTGTGTGTATACATATATATATATATATATATATAAAAAAAAAAAAAAAAAACATCATCAACGGGGACTTAACAGAGACGAATTACCGACACGGAATCTTCCATACGACCCAACGGAACGAAATGCAAAGTCGTGAAGAATTGCCAGAAGAAGGGAACGATGCAAATGCAAGGCGCTACAATGCAGCAGGGTTCCAGGCGAATCATAGCAACGCGAACGAATGCATCGTGAACCACGAAAAAATACACATACCTATGCGGCGCAAAGAGATGAAACGCAACACGTGTTCCGTCGCAGCACGGCAGAGGTGATCAGCATGCACGCTCGAGTTAGAGTGCAACGCAACACAACGCAATGCAAGTACCCGCGCAAGCCCGAATCACCCCAGGATTTCAGAAATCTTAGTGACTGAGAACCCAAGTGAAGATCCTGGCACTTCTCGAACGGATCGTACCCCACAGGGAGCTCCACCGGCGGCCCACGAGACAAAGTTCGCGGCGCGCCGCTCAGCCCATGTGGGCACACCCCTGACATGGACCGTGCCCCATAGGGAGCTCCACTTACGGTGTCAGAAAAGGGTCGCACAACGTCCGCTCGCCCATGCCGGCACACCCCTCACACTGATCGCGCTCTACAGGGAGCCCTGCCGACGGCCTCAAAGGGAGGAATCGTATGGAGCCTCTCCGCATGTTTCGGCACACAGCTGCTGCGGATCGTGCCCCACACAGAGCTCAATGCCCAACTTCGCGTGGCGTCCTGTGCCTCTTGGGGGGCCCTCCTGGGCCTTCTCGGGAGCCCTTGGGGTCTATACTGGGCTGTCTTGGAGCTCGCTTGGGCTGCCTTGGGGTCTCCTTGGGCCATCTGGCACCTCTCGAAGGTCTCCGAAAACCGTTTTCGAACCCTCTTGTCGCTCTCTTGGGTCTGGGGGCCCGTCATTTGGAGCCCTCTTGTGGGGTCTCTCGTGGCCAGCTGGGGCCCTCGGGGGCCCATGTTGGGCCGCCTTGGGGCGATCGTCAAAACGGCCTCTTGGGTTGTCTTGGACGCTGGCAACACCGAAACAGAGAGAATGCCAAATTCACAAAACATCTGCGCACAGGAGAGGATTGTTGCGTCAAGGGAGCCTGTGGCGGATCTTGGGACGTGTTGATGGCCTCTCCTTGCCATTCGCAGCCTGTCAGGGCGTCTCGAATCGTTCGAGGGCCCCTTGGGCCGTCCTGACCGCCTCCTGACCCGTCTTGGCAGCCAGGTTGGTATCGTACGGCGTCCATCTGCTACCCCATGGAGAAAAGGGTGGCTACGCGTGGCGCCTCTTCCCTTCGACCCGGGTATATATACATACATACATGTATATATTTATGTATACAGATATGTCTGCACATGAAAATTTGAAATAAGCGTAGATGGGTACATGCATATATATATATATATATATATATATATATATATATATATGCACACGCCCCCTGTAGAATAGAGGGTCGTGCATCTATTCTACAGGGGGCGTGCGCAGCGAACGGGTACACAAATCCGCTACCGTGCCCCCTGGCACGTGAAGGCGTGGTACGATGTCCAGAGCTGTCTGGTATGTGTTCTATCATATCCTGAGCCCCCCCCCTTCGCCGCGTAGATCCGCATGCACCCCCCCGATCCGTCGCAACAAAAGCCCAAACCCCCAACCATGTGATGTTTGCCACGGGGACAGGTCCCGAACAATCCACACGGTCGTATGGCAAAGTATGTGTAGGTATTCGCGGTTCTACCCGAGCTCGCACTGTCCAAAGAGCTTGCCCCTGTGCAGAGAAAGTCGTTACGCCTCCTCCCCGCAACTCCTTATCCTCCTCCTTGATGGAGTTTCACTCCAGGCTGACACGGCACCAAGACGGCGGAATCAGCCACCTCTCGGTCCTACTGGTAGCGGTCCTATGTAGGATTGCCAGGACGTGGTGCACACGTATCACTCGCAACATGATGTGATGAAGTCTTGCCCCAGGACTGGGAACCGACACCCGAAGCGTCGTTACCGTATGTACATCCTCCTCCTTCCTTTCGTCCTGCTCCTGCTCCTGCTCCTCCGCCTACTCCTCCCCCTCTCATGCCCTGAGTTTTGCGAACCGCGCCTGGGTCAGGAAGCTGCGGGGACGCGTGAGGAGGTATTTGAACTCGCCTCCATACTGCTGAACCGACTCGATAAGCATCCCAGCCATTGCTGCAAGTCCGCGGGTCCGTCGTATCCCGCCCAGTGGGATCTTGATGAGAGGCGTTGCGCTCAGCTAGCTCATCCCTGCAGTTCATGCCATCGCATGACTTGCTCCGCCACTCGCTCCTTCCCCTGCCCCTCCCACCCCCCCCCCAGTTTACGGACCTGCTTCACCACCATCATCCCCGGCTGCTCCTGCCCCCCCCTCCTCCTCCTCCTGCTGCGGCTGCTGCTGCTGGTCGCCGTCCTCCTCGTCATCGCCCTCCTCTGCGCGCTCCTCGCTTTCCTCGTCTCCCCCTACTTCGGCCTCCATCGTCCCCCCCGCGTCCGCGTTGCCGCCGCTCTCCTCGCCCCTTCGCGTCCTCCCCCTCTGCTTCCCCCCTCCTCCTGCTCCTACGCCCTGCTCCTATTGTCCAGGGCAAAGCCGCAGTGGTAGGCACACCAGA